CCTTTTTAGGAACCGAATGTGGCAGCATAGGGAGGAAGACTACGTTTATGCTGACACTGGCCTTAACGATCAGTGGTTGTGACCAAATGCAGGAGGAACCAAGGAGAACAACTCAACATTTGGTTACCCTAGCAATGACTACGACTTTCGGCGGTTTCTAGCCAAGAGAGCATGCTGGCAGAATTATCCACGGGAGTGATGTATCCTCATGACCAAGTCCGATGAGATGGCGAAAATGACACTCCTTTGGGCCTGGCGGTAGGGATGATCAAGGGCGCGTATAGGCTAGGTGCATTCATTACCCTTTTCGGTGTCGTAGGCGAGCAAGCCGCTGCTGGGCCACTGTAATTGGAAGGGATCTTTAGTGGACAACACTGAAGAACCAAGATGAGATCATAGGCCTAGCGTCTGGGACAAACTCGGGCGGGGCGCTACTGCACCAGCCCTGCCGGAATTGCTGACAGCCCGTCTGACAGCCTCAACTCGGGTACGTAATGCATGGTAGGGACATGAGCTTTATGATTGAAATTGAATGATTACGCGATGCCCCTCTTTCTAGGTACGTATGGCTCTCCATCTTTTTCTCAAGAAGCCGACTGCCTAAGGGAGGTGCCTTCAAGTCCAACGTAGCTGCCTCAGGCAACACTATGGCGAGCCCCCCAGCTCAATAACTGCTGCGTGTTGATGCTTGACGAGCCCCGGTCGAGCTTACCTTGTGGATGGTAGGCACATTCAGCATGGCCACGCCTAAAACAGCCCCCAAGCAGGGGCTCTACCACTGCTCCACGCAAGTGCGACGGATTGGCTCTTTTTCGGTATCATGATGCGGCAGCCCTGGCGATGCCCTTTTCCAATCCTCCATCACCACCGCTACCCCTGCCACCTCTGCCAATGCCGACCCAATCATAGCTCCTTATTGATCTCGAAAGAAGGCACTCTACCTGCCCTGGGCCGTTGATCCCAGTACAAAGAGCCTTACCACCACCCCTGCGCCTAAAGACAGCTGTGGGCGCAGGCCCTTGACATGCTTCAAGTGTCCCAATTTTAGGCGTAAGCACTTTTGGATGACCATTCCATAGGCCCCATAGGGCCATGGACTGCGTGTCTGACGAGCCAGAGGAGAATAAGATGACCCGTATCCCACCTCCCAGACAGAAGATGGTCGAAGGCCCAATGCCTCTTGGCTGTAGGATCCTAAAACCGTCGACTCGTCTTTGTTTTTTTGACCCAGTATGGATTCTCTGGGGGACTTTTCAGAAGAAAGCTGGCCGCAGCACCCATTCTTGCCCCAAGAGACGCTTGATGGACCTGCTTTCCTCGATACAGGTGCTTGCCTCTGTGCTTTGCAGAACCCTCGACCCGAGGACACCAAGAACGCTGTATGGCAATGCATCGGCAATCAAACACAAGGGGTCTACAACGTTGACACCGGCAAATGGTTCAATGCCGTTCACGACTCCACGAAGATCGATGGGGCCATTGAAGATGACTCCAACGGACCGGACACGAGCAAGACTCTCGCCGTGGTGGATGGAAAGTTCCAAGAACGGGAACCCAACAGTGCTCAATTCTCCATCTACGATCGAGCTTGTACCGGAAAGAACCATTCGACTTTTTCAACTGCGTATTACCGTGTCGTCGAGGCGAATGGAACAGACGAGACGCCAGTAGATGCTCTTCCATGTTGGAGGATGGGCGCGATACCAGTCCAAATTCAGAACGCAGAGTCGTGGACTTCCAAGGGGTGTCAAGAGGGGTTCTACTGTAAGTTCAAAGCCAGCAACTTTCTTTGTGGAACTGTGTTCTGAATACCATTCAAGGTCCCAACAACACGGTTAATTCACTCCCCTTATACTGTCCTCCGCTCGAACCTTGCCAAATCTCGAGGCTGTTGGGAGAGGTGTGTCAACACCCTGACACTGGAGACTATCTAAGCATGGGCCCCTTTGAGCCCCAAATATGCCAGAAGGGATTTTATTGTCCACACGAGGCCAATGGAACTCAACAACTTCCTTGTCCCCAAGGATCATATTGCCAACTTGGGGCTGCAACTCCAACCCCTTGTGTGATTGGGAGTTACTGCCCCCAAAAGGCAGAGTTTCAACTTTTCTACCTCCCAGCTATTATTCTGGTCCTTGTCGACATCATAATCGCCTTTGGAATCTTTATCTTTGGGTATCGCCAACGTTTCCGTCGAAGCAGCTCACAAGCACGCATTGGTGTTTTCACTAAGGGTCGTGAGGGTATGGGCGGCGTCATGGCTAAGATGTCAGGCTACAATGCCTTATCTGACGACCCTAACGATCGAGAGATGCAGCCTCTGGATGCGGCGTATGTTGCTAGGCGCCCAACACTCGGATTCGAGGCTGCCCTCGGCCCTGAAACGGAGACGGAGGGAACCGAGGGGCATAAACCTTATGAAACGAACCCGCAGCTTCAAGCTTTCACGGATGCCATGCGCAAGGCCACGGATGCATTTGATTTTGGCCTTTCTTTTCGGTATGAGGACCTTACATTCCAACCTAAGGGCAGTTCGCGCCCTATACTAAATCACGTCACCGGGTCCATCGATCGGGGTACCCTCACAGCCGTGATGGGAGGCAGCGGAGGTGGAAAGAGTACCTTTGTCAATGTGCTCATGGGAAAGACCAAACACACCCAAGGTTTAGTTGCTATCAATAACAAGCCAGATAAGCTTAAACGGTACAAGAAGGTCATCGGATACGTTCCTCAAGATGACATCGTCCTACCCGAGTTGACCGTGTACGAGAATATTGCCCATTCCGCTAGAGTCCGGTTACCGCGAACATGGTCTAATAGGGACATCGATCGTCTTGTTGATGCCGTCATCGACTGCCTGGAACTCTCCCATGTCCGTGATTCCTTGGTCGGCAGCGTCAGCAAGCCCGTTATCAGTGGCGGCCAGAGAAAGCGAGTGTCAATTGGCATGGAACTTGCTGCTGCACCCATGGCCATTTTTCTGGATGAGCCTACGAGCGGTTTGGACGCTTCTGCTGCCTCATCGATGATGCGGACCCTCAAGGCACTGGCTAAGTTGGGAATCTCCGTCATTGTTATTATTCATCAGCCCCGAGTCGAGACATTTGAGATGCTAGACAATTTGATTCTCCTTGGAAATGGGCAGACGATTTACGAAGGTCCTCAAGAGACCGCTCATCAATTCTTCGAGAACATGGGTTTCAGATTCCCTCCCCACACAAACAAAGCTGATGTCATTACAGACATTATCACTGGAAATGGCCGAGAATACAAGCCTGTTGGTGATATCGCAAAGGAGTTCCTCATCGAGCGTTGGGTCCAGCATCACGCAAATCTCACTCGGGACACGAGTAGACACACACTCTCCTCGGCTGGACAGGGGCTGATGCATAAAACTATCAAGAAGCGCGGAGCCTACCGGCTTAAGCAGTTCTGGCTTTGCCTCTGCCGTGCCGTGCTCCAGCAATACCGTGGCTATTGGTCTTTTTGGGGAGAGATGGCCCTATCGCTTCTCGGAGGATTCCTTCTCGGTCTCGCTCAAAACTCCCGCAACGGAGTCATGTTTAGAGGGATTTATAACACCTATGGCATATTGTCCATCTCGGCTGATTATCTCTCTGCGCCTCAATTCGCCCTCCTGGTTGCAATCGGTATAGGCCTCGTGTCAGCAGCACCCGGTGTGAAGATCTTCTCGGAGGAGCTGCTGGTGCAGAACCGCGAGGCCGAAGCGGGGCACTCGAGGATTTCCTATTTCATGGCCAAGGTGCTGTGCGTGTTTCCTAGAATGGTGTTCGCTTGTCTTCACTTCTCGGTGCCACTCCTTCTTCTTGCCATGCCGGTCATCAACTGGGGAGTGGCCTTCATGGTCAACCTCTTGTACTTTTTCTGCATCTACGGACTCGCTAGCATCGTGAGCATGATAAGCAAGCGTGAGGAAGCTCCCCTGTTGTCGGCTATGCTGAGCCTCATCCTGGGCATCCTATCTGGTGCGGCGCCTCCCCTGTCTAAAGTAAAGCAGTGGCACATGGAGTGGCTATGGAGGGCATCTCCTGGTACTTGGTTGGCTGAGGTCTACTTTTCTCAGCTCGTGGGGCCATACGAGTATCTCTATAATGTAGAGACGGCTGCGGCATTGACTGGGTTTCATATGGGATGGCTGTGGCGAAACATGCTTATTTTATTTGCGATTGGATTTGGGTACCGAGTCATAGCCTTTGTCTTTCTTTGCTTTGGTCATCGTCTAAGGCGTTGAGAGATTGGGCTTGAATGGGATGGACGAGGAACAGGTATCAGATTAGGTTTATTGCTCTGCTGTGGTATGGATAGATTATATATTTACGAAGGTATGAAATAAACTGCAGTTTCTTATAAACCAAGAGCCCCTATTGGGAATATACCATAATAAATTGGTACACTGTTTTCTCCATTAAAGACTGAGAAAAAGGATTCTAATTGAGGGTGTGCCCACCACTGAGTCGTTTGAAGGCATCTCACAAACCTGAACGAACCTATATTCCTTTAAAACATCTGGAAAATGGCGAAATAAGGAGGAAGCATACCTTGATTGTGCATTAAGTGGATATATCGTATACAAGAACAAAACCGAAATCAGGGTGGCAGGATCTTGTTGTTCTGTTCTGGGGACGGACCGGCCGCACAGGCGAGGAGAGCCCCAACGAGTAATTGCTCAGTGAAAAATCCAGCCAGTACGCCTCTCGCGTAGGCACTACCTACCTACTGAGGTTGAAATATGTCGTGTAGGGGATCTGGCCCTCCACGCTCACAATTGCATCCACCAAACACCAACACAGAGGACTTTCCCACAGACGAAACTGCAAACCCAGCACCCCGACTGATGAATCTCGCTTCTACTAAACATTAATCCAAGCCCTTTTCAGTATGTATGGAATTTCTCTTCCATTTCTTAAGCATCTGCCCTGATTAGATTTACTAACCTGGATCAGCCCCTCCCATCGACGTATTCTGCCTAGGTACCCAACATGTTCGAGTGCTTCCGATTTTTCGATATCCGCGATGCCCACAACGGGTCGGTAAAGGATGGAGGACAAGAGGCCTATCTTTTCCGTCACCTACTCGGGTACGGCTTGGATTGCGAGGAGAAGCACGAGAAGTGGAAGGTCGAGGCCAACCCCCCTTGGATCACCCCGATCCTAGCGAGCATCTATCCCTTTACTCAACGCCGTTGGCCACCCAGGCCCCCACCAAGGAGAGGTTATCGCTACCACCGTGCCCGTCTCATGACGGATATCTTGTATATACCTCTCGCCATGTTTTGGGTAGATCTCTTGTTTACGGACGGGTTTGGCGGACTTGGTGGGATCTTCGGATTATGGAAGACAGCTGAAGAGGAACTCGTTTGAGGGTGGCGAGGCCACAAAGGCTAGTTTGGGCCCTGAGAGAAGATGGGCTGACTGTTGTGCTACTACTTTGATTGGGCATCTACGCCAAGGGAATAGGGACCACCGCACTGCCGGTTGGATCGAGATTTGAGGTCTGACACCGAGTACCTGATGTAGTTAAATCTTTCTACTTGGCTTGAGATTATCTACATTTAGGGGTCAATTTGGACTTGTCCATCGCTCACAACAGAGGAATTAATTAGAGAGAATGACCAAGAGCTATGCATATCCATGTCCTGCATTGGCATGAGAGTGCTGCATCTTCAAAAGAGTAACTTGGTCAATAGAGCTTGCTAGATGAGCTACCATTGGCCCGATTTCTACAATCAGGCCAGCTTCCAACGATCGTGATCGTTGGCTGCCTCCGTAGGAAACAGATACGCTGCTAGTTGAGGAGAACCTCTGGGAAGGTGCACGCCCCCCGTAGAAGCATCACACGCCCCCCCAAAGGAGAAAGGTAACTCGCTACTTGCCTTGGAAAAACAGGGAAAGGTACCTTGATGGGTCGACGACACGCTGGCTAAGGTAGGTACCTAGGCACTCGCCCCTGACGAGACAACAAAACCTGCAAGTGACAACCCGAACTCAACCTCTTAGAAAGGTAGCTGAAGTTCATCTAAGTGATCCTCCGTATGACTTTCGTAGTTCCATCGGGATTCTAGGACATTGGTGACTGAGTTTAGCCCTGAGGTACACTTCTTCACTCCTTGTGACTCGTCCGTACACCCCTCCTAGGTACCTCAGTACCTAACTCTGATAGGCCCCCGTTCTCTCCCACCTCGCCTAACACGGCACCCTGAACTTCTCTGGGTTCGCTCCTGCCGCTTTCACTTTCTCTTTGCTTCTTCCTCACCTTGCTGCCTGAGGTGTCATGTCCAGTGATTCAGACTGAGTGACGCTAGCCACTACTACTTAAACTCCTCCTCCCTCCTCCTCTCCCTCTCTTGTTTTCTTCTCCTCTCATCATACCCTTTTCAAACCAACCCCCATAACGCCCACCCATCCCCGCGTACCCAGGGATGCCCCCGCCTATGGCTAGCTCACCTGGGCACCTCCCTATAACGCCCACCCAGGTGGCTGCCCCAGACATGGGCGGCCATAAGATGGGTGGGCTCGCCCGGGTGGGCCAAGCTAGGCGGGGGCAAAACAAGACCTCGAACCGCGGTGCGAGTATTCCTTCATCATCCCAGTCCTCCTTCACCTCAAATTGCAAGAGTTCCCCTCCAGTGCGTTCACTCTTGTCACCCTGACAGCAAGTGATCAAGTGATCTGTTCCCCCACAACCTCGATCTTAAGATTTGGCCAAGGCGTTGGACTAACATGATACTTTGTTTTTATCAAACGTTAGCTCCTCCATCGCCCTCCTTTGAGAACCGCCGCCGGAGGAGCTGCCTGACAATCAAGTCAATCAGGCGGCTCCCCGTATGAGGCCGAGATTAAGCGGCCACTGGGAAACTCTTTCGATTAGTTGAGCCCAGGGTAAGTAGAAATCTAAGTTGTTTCATTTCTCGTGTCTGGGGCGGACAGTACTGACACCAAGAAGCAGAGACTGGCTCACATCCCATCCGTCACGGCGAGCGAATTCACAAATCAAGCGGTCAGACGACAGCGAAGGCCTGGCTGTAAGTCAGACTCGTTCCGCTTGACCCCCACACCGGTGAAAAATGCTAACTTGACGTTTATTGGGATGAAGGCATTTGTCGCGCTCTCTCTGACTTGGGTCAACCGTGGTTGCCTAGTAGACTCACCGACGCCTAAGTATGTGGCATGGGAGTCTTCGAGGATGGCAAGCCCCCCACCCCCCCAGAACGAAGGTCTTTTCCGAGATCGTTCCAGGGATTGTTTAGATGACTGCCGACGCCTAAGTATGTGGCATGTGAGTCTTCGAGGACAACAACTCTCGCTCAGGACGGAGATCCATGGCCTTTTGCTAGAGGGCGAGCCGACGCTCAAGACCTCATTATCAACCACAATATTGCGCCAAACTCGGATCATGAAAACCAAACCACTACGTCAAGTGGTGTTCAATTCTGTGCATTGGTAAAATAGCACCTGACACACTCATCTTTTCCGAGAAAGAGCGATATTGTTTTCGCAGAATGAAAACAGGTACCTCTTACTCATTTCCAAAACTAACCATGTGACGACAGCTAAGCGTCAATCAATAGGGACTTTTTCACTTACGGAAGCTGGGCCGCTTCAAAGCCATCTTAGAGGGGGGAAAAGAGCTTACTTCATATTTTGCATGGGCACGGGAGCATTGCTAGGGGAGTTTAGAAGTGTTATTCTCAGTGGGCCGTATTCATTGTGTTGAGTAGTCGGGCTCTGGCAGCTTCCATTGCTGTTGAACTTTATTCTCTTTCTCTTACGTATTCTCAGTGGGAACTCGAAATCATTTTCTCTGGAGTGTTTTTATCACATGGCTCGTTGTGAACCTTGGTCATAGCTACTCTAATGGCACTATTGTTGGGCGACAATGAACGAACACTAAATTCAAGTATCTTCGTGTGGCCTTCATCTGTGTGCTGTGAGAGAGCAGCAATGGAATGGGCGAGACCCGACATCTCAACACAATGAATACGAACTAACCCTTGTCTTATTTGTGTAAAATTTGTACCAGGATAAACGAATTATTGTTTGTTGGGTTCACTTTCGAGAATCCTGGGTATCTTGATGGTTGTGCACTCTCATAAAATAAATAAAGGGATATCTCAACAAATTGCAAGTAAGAGCAAAATCATCCAAAATAATCCATCTTGTAATAGTCATACGTTAACGCCGTAATCCAGTATCTTCACGTCCTCCAATTCCAAGCCACCTATCGTCACCTGCACATCCTCACTCTACCAGCTTCTTCCAGAAATGTTCTTCTGCTTGGCCGTGTTGTTCATCCTGGCCCAGACCGCGCCGCCCACAGCGGCGGGCCTGGCGGCGGGCTCGTCGGCCTCCTGGTGCTCGGGGCACTTGCGCGGCATGGCCCGGCCCTGGGACTCGCAGAAGAAGCGGGAGACGTCGTACTCGTGGTCTGGCCCGGGGGCGAGGCACATCCACCGGACCTTGGTGGACTCGAGCTGGGGCCAGCAGACGTCGCACCAGTGGCAGCTGGGGTACTCGTCGGCCGCGCGGGCGCCGGCGGCGGGGACGATCTTGCCGCAGAGCTTGTTGGAGCAGTAGACGGTGCTCTCGACGGCGGGCCACTTCTCGCGGAAGGTGAGGGCCTTGCGCATGACCATCTCGGCGGTGCTGATGAGCCCGAGCCGGCGGCAGACGTCGTTGCAGGCGTGCGTGGAGAAGAAGAACTTGAAGCCCTCGCGGTTGAGGTTTGTGTCGGCGAGGCGGAAGCGGTTGGCGTCGGCGGTGTGGATGGCCGGGTCGGTGAGGAGGCCGCCGACGCCCTGGAGGTCGCAGACGAGGATCTTGCCCCAGGAGCGCTCGAATGTGAAGTGGGAGAAGGCCTGGGCGGCCTGGTTGGTGGCGTTATCGCCGGGGAGGTCGTTGTTGACCCAGCCCGAGTTGTTGTTGTACTTTACGTACTCGCCCTTGATGTAGGGCTCGAGTGACATGCACTGGGCGGTGCCGTCCTTGCCCGCGCGGCCCTTGAGGCAGGTGGTGACGATGAAGTCGACGGCGTGCTCGGGGCCGACGAGGTTGTTGAACTCGAGGGCGAAGGCCTTGCAGAGGGCCTGGCACCTCATGTCCTCGGCGAGGTGGGCGAGGTGCTTGCCGTCCTTCTTGAACGACTTGACGACGAAGTGGTTGGTGGAGGCGGCGGTGCGGGCGTATGCGGCGACGCGCAGGGCGCCCTGGGAGAAGGGCTTGGACCTGCGCCGGACGTCGAGCTCCATGGTGCTCAGCTCGATGTGGTCGTCGTGCATCATCATGTCGCTGAGGGTTCTCGCGCCGGCCCGGACCACGTCGGGGGAGAATCCCTCAACGGTGAGGGTCTCATTGAACCAGCTGGGCGTGTCCCAGTCCGGAACCAGGTTTTCCATGACAAGCTCCTTCTCACTCTCCTCTTCTTCGACGATGCTGGGGCAGTTGGCCAGCGCGGTGCTATCGGCCAGCTTACCGCCGTTCTTGGAGATGGATTCGGAGAGCCGGACGGCAGTGCGGGAGGCGGAGCTGGCGACGCTCTGGACGACGAGGTGGCGGAGGGCGCTGTAGGAGGTTCCGAGCTCCGACTCCTCGAATGCGAGGCTGCTCTTGGCTCCTCGGAAGCGGGAGGTAGTGGAGGCGGCCTGGATGACCTTGATCTGCTCGCTGTTGAGCACGTGGAGCTTGCAGTGGGCGGAGGCGTTCTGGTACTCCTTCATGAATAGGTGGGACATGATGTCCGTGTGGGACTGGATGCGGAGGAAGCAGTAGTTGAGGTTGAGCATGATCATCTTCTTGAGGAGAGGCTTATACGTGAGCTTGTGAGGCTCAGTCCCCGGCGTCGCCCATCTGTCCGTGTAAGTGACGATGTTGAAGATCTTGCCGTGTGGGGGGGCGTCGCCGATGTGGATGACGCAGCGAGTCTGGTTCTTCCAATTGGCGTTGACGACTTTGTCGAGGCCTCCGAGGACGTCTTCGGGGAAGTCGTCGCCGCCCTTGGCTTTGAGCTTGTCGATGAAGGAGCGGACGCGGTCGACGTCGGTGGTGAAGTCCTGGAACTCGATGTTGGGCGTGTCGGTGTGGTCCCTGTAGCCCACGACGGCCATGCGGATCTCTGCCTCCTTCAGAAAGGTGAGCTGGATGTCTTCCATGATGTCCTTGACCTGCTTCTTGGCGGCGTCGATGTAGGGGTGCATGGAGCTGGTGGTGTCAATGAGGAACAACAGGTCGGTGGAGCAGGCTTCCTTG